CTTGCACGTATATAGTTGCTTGGTTGATTGTTTGTGCTGACCGCTCTCGGTCTCCCAGACCATGTACGGCCTGATTGAAGACGTGCAGTCATATGGACCAAGAAGCAGACATACTGGATGCCAAGAATGATGAGTGATGTATTTGGAATTGGTGCCAATATTTTCCAATATATTATAGATAGGCGCCGATGTCGCGCGTTGCGCGGATCCTCAGCCTTTCAAAAATTTAGCCCTGCCGGACACCCGAAGGGCCGACTACGAAAGGCCCTCGCAAAGTGCAAGGCGAAGACCGATCATACAACCGAGGCCAAGTTGACCACCTCGAGAAGCGGGCCAGGTAAGTATGATTCACCACTAGGCGCCGCCGAGCTACCCCCACACGAGCCTCTTTGTCAGAGGTCTGGCTGGCGATGGTGGGTCATAGGTGGCAACCTATGGTAAGAAGTACGTAGTGTGGCCACTACTCCCGCATCCTCCAAACTCATGGGATAGTGAGGCAGGTGTACATGTATTGCAAGAGGTAGATTTGGGATCCTGATGGTGGCAGTAGCGTATTCGGATCCAAGCGATCAGCGGGTTTGATCTGGTCACACTTCTGGAGTAAGGTCCTGAGTTCCAACCTAGGGTAGAACATCGTCCCAATGTCGGGAGCGTGGGATCACGGCTAGCTGTTGAGGTGTGGAGTTGAGGTCACAGTTGACGGACCGAGATTCGCATACAGGATTGGTGGCAATTCCTGTACCCTCTGTCCCTGCGGATGTTCCGTTGACTGGATGACGAGGGATCCCAGAAGACAGGTTTAACCGCCTTGGACTTGCAGTTCATATGGCGTAGTACAGTGTGGTATTGGTAGATGGCGCTGTATGGCGTGATAAATCGTAGAAACGACTTTGTGCTCAAGTGGCCCAGAAGCCTCCTACTCTGTAATAACACTACATAACATATGTTCAGCAATAACTGCACAGGGAGTAAGTTTACTCCTATAGCCAGCTGGCTCTCGATTGAATTGCAAGACGTGTCACCCACCACTCGGCCGGACATGTAGCAATTAAGCATGCAAAGTCCAAGTTCCGGCCTTGAGCGCGCGAAGCCCCGCTGGCAGGTACCCCGCTGCATGGCAGTACACACATCGACCGAGCCAGGTGAAGGCGGGAAGGACCGCGCCTTGGTAGCCGGTTGCAGCTTGGTAGGTGGCCTGCCTGCCCGCCAGACGCATCAGGCGAACGAACAAGAGAAGTGAAGCCCGTCTGCTGCTGCAGCAGCAGTTGGCGAAATATCAATTTTGTACAAGCAGCGGCACTTCGAGTCTTGTCATTAACGCGTTCGGTCTGTGTTTAAGAGTCTGAGTCTAAGGTGCCTGGGTCCAAGTCTTTTAATGAACGCCGCCTACCACGGCAAGCATACATAGTAAAAGCTTACATGCCTAGTTACAACCCTTCGTAAAAGCTTACATGCATGCATCAGCCCGCCCACCTGCTTCCTGCGCCATGATTCCATGGTGCGTATGTGCGGTACGTTTTGTAGTAGTCCCATAACAAGCTCGTAAGTATCGCGTGTTTAGGATGCAGTAAGCCCACCAATCACCGCCTCATCACCCCACGGCAAGTAGCGAGCCGACTGGTACATACCTTGAACAATAATGTTACAGCTTGCAGGAGATATGCAGCGACGTGCATACATGCACACATACATACATACATACATACATAGTGCCTCGCCGCTGCCCGCTGCTGGATCCGTCCACCCTACAGTGACCCTATCAGACCATTATAAAGATTATATCAGCCAACCACATATGGAGCAAAAGGGCTCTATTGCAGTACATATACCAATGACCAACACCAGCACCACAGCGGAATGTACGCTTGCGAGGCCCGCAGTCAACCGCAGTCGAACCGAAGGGAAGGCCACAAGAGGCTCATAGCTGTAGCAGGATGTATGGGAAATACATATGTATGTATGTATGTGTGTCTATAGAGAATTCAGTTCCATATCAATTAGCGCAAAACGGGGCTCAAACAGGGTCAGGGCAAGAAGAAAGCAACAGCAGATGAACAGATGCGGGAAAGAAAGCCATGAACCACGAACGCAACCGGAATCATGCCAGCCAATATGGTACGACTGTACGACTAATGAAACAGCTCGTACCCGCCATCCTGTCATGCCAAGTATGTGGTACCCAGTCCATTGGTATCCCCGTGCATACCTGGCTAAAGGACGCCATTTAGACCGGTACGGCAGGCTCAAGCCCATCTTTGGAAACTGCTCGCCATACAAATACAGAACAAAGCCCGCGCAGCCCCTGTCCGGCCACTTTCCCAAAATAAAAGGTGCCCCTCCGCCTCTCCAAGTTCCTGACACCTTTACGGACCGCCGTCAGTCAACAGCCAGCAGTGCAACCGGCGCTTGCATGCGCGTGTGGATGCTTACGGAGTAGGGTTGCATTTCGGGAAGTCAGCCGTCAAGATAATGATGATGCGGGGGATGGATGATATGTCTAAACACCCAAGCCTGAAGAGAGCCCTTTTGGGAGTCTTCAACCGCAAACCACATTTCAGGTCTCCTTACCTTCATCTTAAGGTAGTCAACTATTATGCACACAAACACACACGCGGTCACGCCATTAACGCACAGCAGTAGCAGCAGCAGCACCACCACCACCACCTCTACGCAGGGCTCTTCCTCTCCACAGCTGTCCTTCCACACGCCAGAAGGCTAGCAGCAACAGCAGCAGCAGCAGCAGCCAGCGAATCAACCAGCTAGTTCGAGGGCTGAACGGGAACGAAGGCATACAATGAGTGCAATGCGCATTGTATCAGCAGAGCCCTGAGGATGTCAACACCTCAGCCGCTGCGCGCACCCACATGCACCCAACCCCCAGCGGGGCTCCGTTACCGCGGCTGCAGGCGGTGCAACCACACGCAGTGCAATCTCACGCACACCAGCAACATCCCCTATAATACAGTCGTTTGATGCGTTGTTGCCGTCGTCGTCGCCGCTGCCGATGCACCCATGGCCACACCTCCGGGCACGTCCGGAACCACGGGTCGGTACGTCACCCGTCCAGCGGCGTCCGTGACGTAGTAGTCCGTGGCGGGGTGCGGCAGAGGCCGTCCGACCCCTGCTGCTGAGCGCAACTTAGGGTTCGGCTTTGAGTTTGAGCCCCGAGTCGAGCTCAACTTCCTGTCGGAGCTCAACGAATCGGAGCAGGTACTGTTGGTGGGGCTGCTGGTGCCGCTGCTGGTGGCGGCGGCGGCGCCTGTGGGAGCAGCTGCGCTGCGGCTCTCCGCGGCTAGCCGGTGGCATGCGGCGCGATACTGGGACACGAAGGTCGCATAGTCTCGGACCTGCCGTGAAACGTTACGGTGAGGTGAGGCAAGGTAACGTACGTTAGGTGAGGAAATGGGTGAGGGCGGGGAGGGATAAGACCGTAATGTCTGAGTCGCACTCCACCTTCTGGAGTTGTGTTACCCTCCAAGGGGGTAAGTAACCTGGAGGCCCATACAAACCGGGGCCTAAGGGCCAGCAGCCTCGGACTGCCCAAATCAGTCAGATATCATGACACGCACAAGGAAAACGAGTATCCTTTCAACAAGAGGCAGTGGTACCATCAAAGGCGAGACCTAGAGTGGCCGGGATAGGCTGTAGGCGGGCGGCAATGGATATACAAAATGATGGAGGAGGAAAGCTCGTCCCTCTACGCCGCGTTGCTGTTGCTGCTCGCGTGTCCATCCCTTTAAAAGGGGCGCGTCCGCCCGTGACGTGGGCGCGCGTTTGTTGGTATGTGAGAGGGTGCCGACCCTCCCTTTGTTGTCTGCCTTTCGGAGCGGCCCTGTTCACTGTCCGCAACGCACAGTGTTCTTATTTCGTTTAGGGGCCTTTCCGGATGCGACCGTAAACCCTTTAACCTGCCTCTCTCACTCCTCGTCATGTAGCACCTGCTCCCGCCCTGTGATGCATTGTGATGCAATCCTAAGTTGTCACCGTGAATCACACGGAAGACTCTTCCCACGCACCCCTACGCGTCCTGGGGACAGGGGACAACAAGCGCAACCCTCCCCCGCCCTGCCGTACCAGGTTACTAATCTTCTCGCCGTACGCCGTATCTCCGTCCACATCTACGTCCGTGTCGCAGTCCACCACCAGGGAGGGCAGCTGGTGCAGGAAACCCACAGAAGGCACATTCGACACCTGCGACCATACAAAGACGTTTGTACATACATACAAGCATACAAACTCCATCAGCAAATGCTAGCAATACAGGGACAGCAGCAGTCCACCACGCAAAGCGGCAATGGCGCACTCGCTACAACACCAAATCGTAAACCGCAAAGAAAACTCGGCAGCAGGAGTGGGTCCAGCAGACGCGGAAACGCGCACACCCCGAATGGGAAACCCCGGAAAGCACAAAGCAGGCCGCCTCCCTAACCCTTTCCCCCCCTCTTCCTCCACCTCCTAACTCCCCCCTTCCGGGAAGATCACCCACACGCCATCATCACCATCGCCATCCTCGCCGCCAACCGTACCTTGGTCGCGTCAATGATGTGCAGGCTGTCCTCCAGGCTCTCTGGAATGTCCACCAGGGCCAGGGCCGCGGGGGGGGCCTCACTGAGGGGCCGCAACGCCGCCAGGCAAGGAAGGCGCTGCCGCTCCCGCTGCTGCTCCCCAGCAGAGCCCGCATCCGTGGTGAGCCCCTCGTCCCCGGGAGACGTAAGGACGTCGGAATCGCCAGACGACGGCGCAGCCGAGGATGCGGACACCGCGGGGACACATTCTCGTGATGGTGATGGTGGTGATGGCGAGGACGGCGAAGATGTTGAGGCCTCACATGGGGAGCGGAGCCGCGCCGCTAACAGCGCCTCATCCTCGTCATCCTCCACAGCACCGTTGCTGCCGTCGTCCTTGCGACCGTTGGTGTTGCTGCTGCTGTTGTGCCGCTGCAGCTGCTCTTGTTGCTGCTGCTCTTGTTGCCTTGCTAGCCATTGTTTCAGCTCTACTGCTCGTGTAGCAGCATGCAGCAACCAGTCCTCGTGGTTGTTATGAAGGCTCTGTCCAGGCACATTACCGGTAGAGGAAAGGCGCCGGGTGCGGGGTATCGGGGATTCGGTTGGGTGGTTTAGGGAGGGAGACCGTCACCAGGCCGTCACCAGACAGCCCAGGGTGCAAGCCGCGGATGGGCGCGAGTTCGCTTCCTTAGCCGTATCTTCTACACACGAGAGACAATCCTAGGTGTCATTCATGGATGGCATGCACGGCAGAACGCACGCGACAGAGCACGGATACCATTATTACACAGCAGCGAAACAAACGTAACAAAGGTGACACAGGGAACGGGCACCGCGCGACCCCTTGAGAACCTTTCTTTGTTTTTTTTCACATGGAAACCACAGCAAGCCTACAATACAAGCAAGTACTCGTATCATCCGCGGCGATGGCGCAACACTGGCACCACCACCACCACTACCAGCAGCATCAGCAGGGAAAGCCCAGGCAAGAGCCCGACAAACAATCAACCTCGCCCCCCTGCTGCCACGGCACCGACACTACTACTAATACTACTGCAGCAGAGCGGCAACCCTCCCCCAACACCGCACACACCTTCAGGTAGTCCAGCGGAATGCCACCCTCCTCACTTCGCGCCCTCTTCCTCAGTCGAGCCATGCAGGTGTTGGGGGAGGCCCTCAGGTAGATGAGGCCGTTGGGGACCAGCGTGGGCAGGGAGGCCAGGATGGGGCTGCGGCAGGGGGGAGCAGGAGGAGGAGAGGGGCACAGGAAGAATGAGTTTGAATTAGAGCGGGGGAGGAGGGGGGTTGCGGTGGTAGTGGCGGCGGTAGCGGTAGAGAACAGGTGCTGCGTGTAGGCAATGCGGTGTTGAACACAACACACAAAAAAGCTCGCTGCTCTCACCCGAACCAGGCGTCGTAGATGGCCAGTTCGTGATCCGCCAGGTCAAGGGAGGCATGTACGGCTCGCACGAACACCATACGGTCCGAAAAGACGGAGCGCTCCAGAAGCCTCGCCTTGCTCGCATTGCCGTACGTCTCGCGCTCCTGCGCGTGAAGGCCGAATGAAAAGAAGCCATGGATCCGAGCCCATACACGGGTTGAGCCGAAGGGAAGGGAGACCGGCCCACGGGTCCGTGTGCAGGATGAAAGGTGCGCGAGAGGACCGGGAACTACACGTACAGATTAACATACAGACGTCTAAATGGCTGCGCGGCGCGATGAGGACCCAGGTGCATGGCAGCAAAGGAGGGTCCGTACCGCCAATCCCGCGCCCACCCACCCATCCACCATCACCCATTCGCCACCACCACCACCACCACCACCACTGGCACCCACCCACCTGCAGCACCCGCGTCAGGAACACGAAGTTCTGAAATGTGTACGCCATGCGGGCGGGGTCCCGATAAAATAGGTCCAGCAGATTGACCGAGGAGCCGCCCACGCTCTGCCATTTCTCGATGGGCTCCTTGACGAACTGATTCGGTTACATTGGGTAACGGAAAACCGATTTTTCTAATTACAACAAACGGTGATTCAAAGTGAGAACAGCAAGCGATGCAGGTGCAATGGAAACACCCAGAACAATGGCCTAGCGTGGCGCCTGGGAGGATACCAGCAGCACAGGAAGCAGTTCCGATCCTCCACATCCTCGCTGCTGTGCACATGTACCGCCTTGGCTGCCTGTCTGTCTGTCTGTCTGGTGAAACACGACATAATGGGGCGGGGGGGGCCCTCCCAGCTCTTTGCGGATTACCTACACTGAATCCCTTGTCGGTGAGCAGATGGCGATTGAGTATTGACAGGAAGGTGCTCTTGCCCGCGCTGATGTTGCCCTCCACACTCAGCGTCACCTGCGGTCATGGAGGTGGTGGTTCCGGTGGTGGTGGTGGTGGTTGCGGCGGTGGTTAGGGTGGCGGTGGTGATGGTGATGATGTTCAGGCGGCTGCGGAGGGGAGTACGGAGGCGGAGGAAGGGGTAGCGCGGAGCCGGGTTGGCTGACAGAGGGATACTGACTGATTGGTTGGGTGGGCGCTCAGCCACCCGACGGTACGGTAAGACTGCGTAGGAGGAGTCGGCAGCGGGGGGGAAGGGAGAGACACGCGGCCTCCGCGATGTGGGTCACCTGGGGGGGGTATGGGCGAGACACACAGCCAGCCCGCATTCCAGCCCACTCCAGACTCCAATCCGCATCCCTCAAAAAACCCATCATCCAAATATCTCAAACGCAGAGAGTCCAAATCACAGACCTGCTCGCACGTCATGCCAAGAGCCACCGTTGGCGGCGGCGGTGCAGCCGCCGGCACCGCCTGGGCCACCTCGATGCTGGTCGCTGCGCCAGCCTGGTTGGTGACCCGCTTTGGTGCCGTGGCGGCGGATGGCGTGGTGTCGTCCCCGTGCAGCGCGCGGAAAAATGCCTCCATCGCCGCTAATTGCTCCTCATCCCGCACCTCCACCTTGTCCTGTGCAAGTGTGTGTCCAAGGGCAATGGAGCAGCAGCGGCGCGGTGATGCAATGGGTCGGATGAGGATCGCGGGCCGTATGTTGGCCTCGTGTCCGTTTGCCGGCCTGCTGCAGTATAAACAGGGAGCTGTCGTTCTCGCAGCTTGGCAATTATTTGAATGTGTCTCAAGTTGGAATGGAAAAGTGGGATTAAGCTGCAGAGCTGGAGATAGCTCTGCCTTGAATTTGGAGGGGAGGGTACACCAGAGCCGCTTGGCGGCTGTCTGCCGTTAACTGACATGCCGAAGAGGACTTGCCTGCAAGAAGCGACGGAAGTTCACTTTTTCCCGCTCGTACACCCGACGGAAGTCGCTCAAAGTGTAGACGTCGTTCCTCTCAAGCCGCTTGATGTGATGGTGCGCGGCCGGCACCAAAAGGATGTCATCGGAGTGAGACGGCAGTGGCGCACTTCCGTCCTTCCCAGTGTTGCTCCTCTTGGAACGGGTGGTGGCTACTGCGAAGGAGCTCGCGTCACTCTTTTGAGCTGCGAGCAGCACCTTCAACTGCAGGCGGCGCTCGGGCGCAAACCATGTTGCACCAGGAGCGTGCAATTGTGATACCGAATATAACCTTGGCGCTCCCCGTAAAGCTGGCATAACCACAGGCCTCGTTTCTGTCAGAGTCATGCCGCAGCCCCGAAAGCTGCGCACCGGAGTCTGCATGCTGCTATTTGACTTCAGCACACAGCCGAATAAATTATATAATTGATCGCAAAATTTTACCGCTTCAAGCGAAGGACACAATATGTTCGTTGCCCTAACGAGACCCAACCGCATTAACAATTATAATCTAAGGAAATCCTGGTTTCCTGACAGTAAGGTATTAACGCCCAGCGTATTGCGGCTCTAGGAACTGACACCGAAAGGAAAGCCAAATGGGGTTTTCGAACCTAGTCGTACACCAACTGCTTCCGCGCTTTTACAGTCACATTTCGATATTCGATTACACGTTCCGCTTAAAAGTTTGGCGCACCGAAATAATCTATCTGGCATCTTTCATCGGCCACGTTTGCATGTCTTTGGCGCATATTTCTATAGCCGCCACCCTCGCGCCCTTTGCTGACTTCATACGCCAATCCAACCAAACACATCACGCGAAAGCCGGCCGCTATGAGCAAAACTCTCCCTGCCCTCCATCAAAAACCACCTTCCTTCCACGGCTCACAACCTAAACGAACGAACTGCGCGCCCGTACTCAGGCATCGCCATCACTTCCATCGCCCTCGTCCTCTTCCCCTTTAAACAATCCATCCATTGGGTCCCGCGGCATCGGATTCTGCGCCTTGTGCTCCGTCCGCCGATCGCGCTGCGCCACCTTGCTACTGTACTTGCTAGCCGCCTTGCGCTTCAATGCTGCGCGCACCGCATTCGGGGACGTGTAGTTCGGGTTGTCGTACAGCGTCGCTCCGCCAAAGCTGCCGTTAAAGATCTGCATCGCATGACACCACGTTGTCGCGGCCTGTTTGTTGCGTGACAAGCTGACTGGCGTCTGGCGGAAGAAATGTGCCGGCAGGAATACACGGCGCAGGAATACACGACCCTACTCCGCCCTCATTAAGGCCCCCCCTACCTCTCTCATTCTCAAAACCCCCCGGGCCTACCTCGACCACCGTCTGGAAATCTCCCCTCACAGCCCCTCACCCTCCCACGGTATACCGGTACACACATCGGTACACACATCCCCTGCTACCATTCACGGCGAAAACACACAGAAAAAAAACCAACCCCACCTCTCCGCCCAAGTACGACATCCCCAAACCCACCTTGATGGGGTTCAGACAGAACCTGGGGCCCACCTCCACGAGTGAGGCGTTGTCCGGATCCACCCGCTTCTTGTCTGGGGGTACGACAAGCTGGATGGGGTGGGAGAGGAGGGGAAAGAGGGGAAAGACGAACCCGCGTTTAAAGACCAGCGCCTCCTTCCATACACGCTCATGCTGGTTTCGCGACCCTGCCCACGCACTTATAACATTGCACCGGCACACCCGCGTGCGCGCATTCATAGACACACAGTCATAGACATACATACATACATACATACATACATACATACATACACACACACCGACACCCGCCTTACCTGGTAGTTGCGCACCCAAACCCGCTCGTCTGCCAACGTGAACGAGATGACGTGGTCGAAAAAGGGTTTCGCCTTGTGGTGCCGCTTAGGGGTGGCAAACACCTGCGGAGCCGCGGGGTGTGTGCATAGTGTGCGGGGAGAGGGGGGGAATGGGGAGGGGGGAAACAGAGTTACAATGGGAAAAAAGTAGGGGTTATTATAAGGAGGAAAGGTACCCATTGGTACACACACACACATCTATAACTCTTTCTCAGCAACGCACATTCACAGAACTTGCCCTCATCCACACTCACCGCTTCGCTCACACACATTCACCGAACCGCAGTCAACCCGTTCACTCGTTCGGGGCGCCCCCCACCTCTCCGCCCCTCGCCCCCACCTGCGTGAGCATCTCCTTCAGCAGCTGGGTATGGGGCTGCACGTCGAAGGCCGCGTCAAATGACAGGACGGGACGGGAGCCCTTCAGGTGATTGCCGGACAGCTTCACCTGAAGAGGGGGGAGAAGGGGACGGAGACGGGGGGTGATTGGTGGTGGTGGTGGTTGGTAAGGAGCAGGTGGTTGGGGAGGATACTTCATTCATACGCAAAGCAGTCGCCCTTACTTCCCTTCCGGGCCCCCCCCCTTCCCTCCGGCCCCCCCTTCCCTCCGCCCCCCCCTTCCCTCCGGCCCCCCCCCTTCCCTCCGGCCCCCCCCTTCCCTCCGGCCCCCCCCTTCCCTCCGGCCCCCCCCTTCCCTCCGGCCCCCCCCTTCCCTCCGGCCCCCCCCCTTCCCTCCGGCCCCCCCCCCTTCCCTCCGGCCCCCCCTCCTCCTCCGCACCTCCGCCATGGTGTGTACATTGGCCACGTGGAACTTGACCGAAGGGCCGTCCGGGGCCTTGGACAGCCACAAGTACAAGTCCTGCTTCTTGCGGACCTGCGACACAGGAAGTGTGGGTTCGCGGGGGCGGGGTGCGGGGAAGCCGGCGAGAGGAAAAAAGGACACGAGGGAGGTTTCAGAGTTATGGGCACGAGTCGAAAAAACACCGCGGACGCGGGTTACGATTGGGAGGGAGGGCACGCAGCCCTGCAGGGGAAAAGAGAGGTAAACCAGTGGAAACGTAAAATAAAAAGCGCAAGCACGAGGGGTTTTCCCAGCAGCAGCCGTACCCCTCTTCGCCCCCCCCTCCTGAACCCTCCACGTCAGTTCCGCCTCCCAAACCCCACCTCCCCCCACATCTCCTAACCCTAAAACCCAAAGTGCCAAACCCTAAACCCCCATCTCCCACCCCCCTACCCCGCTTCCCTTCCCCTTCCCTCCCCACCTTCTCCTTCACCTCTCCACGCCACTCCAATCCACTACCCCTTACAAACCCCCCAAACACACGCTCACAAACAAGTTTCCTCATCGCGGCTCAGTCATCATTTAAAAACACACCCAGCTCCCTCTCACCTCAAAGAACAACACGCTGCTGCAGTTCTTCAAGTCCGCCACCTCGTTGAGGACCCCGCGGTCGCTCTTGGTGTCCAGTTTGGACTCCTTCTTACAGTGCGGCAGTAGCGACATGACGTCTTCCATCAAGTGACGGTATCGAAAGGTCACGCCGCGGGTGGACAACACAAGGACCTGCGGGAGGACGGATTCGAACGAGATACCTCGTGAAAAAGATGACAATTCAATTTGCTTTTGTTGAGATGCGACGGTAATTACAATACTGTAGTTGCTGGCTGCGAAGGGTCCCTTACAGGGGTACAGGGACTTCCTGATGTGAAGGGTGAACCGTATATGTACGGTTTTTTGTGCGGGGAGATCGCAAGAAGCTTCATAAGAAGCGGGCCCTCAGACAGGCATTGAGGGAGACACTCCACACATTGATAATACCGCAAAGCTAGACAATAGCCAAGAGGCCTCAGCAGCAGCAGCAATAGCAGCAATAGCAGCGCTGCGGTTTGCCGGGAGTATATGTGTCCTGCTTCACTTCACAGCTGCCCCCCGCCCACAAACTCTCACCCATCCACCCCCCATCGCCGGCAGTTTGGTTCTTATGACATTTTGTGCAAGGTGCATGCAACTCCCAACCATATCCGCCAATATCTCGACAGCAACCCGGAGGCTCCATCGTCACACCCCTCGCTATAGCGCGCGCTCTACCCCTCTTCCCTCCACTTTCTCCCGGCCCACCTTCTCCTTGTTCTTAAATGTCCCTGGGGTCTGTACAGCAGCAGCAGCACCCGCCACAGCTCCCGTATCGGCGGGCACGGGGCCCGCTAAGGCTGTGGAGAAGGCGCCCTGCCTAGGGGTGGCCACCTTGGCGGCCGTTGCGGCACCTGGACCTGGCGTGTGTGTTGCAGCATCGCCACCCTTCCGCCCTGGAGACAAATGGAGAAATTGCCGTTCAGAATGGCCAAAAAGAAGCGGGGGAAGTTCAGCGGGCGGGAAATTATACATCGCGGCAGAAGGAAATTTTAGTGGCAGTGAGGGGAGAGATTGGGCTGCAGTGGTGGTGAAGTGCGTGGGGTAGGTGAGCAAGGCGAGGCAAGGCGGGAGAGACGGGTTATGTTGGATGGTGTTACGAACACGTTGTTGTGAGTATAATGCCGGCCAAGGGCGCCTTTCGAGGTTGAGAACGTGAGAAGGAGACTACCGTGGGCGGTGCGGCATAATGCTACAAGGGGACCAACATCGTTGAAGATGGTACGAAACAGCATTCGACAACTGCAAGACGGAAACCCCGCTGTCGGTTTGTGACCAAATTGGGTCTTGCAAGAAATTGGCATCACCACAGATGAGTTGGGCGCATGCGCTATGCCCCAGGATGGGGTTTGCAGGCCTGCGTCCGGCGGCGCGACCTCATGTCGATGGCGAGGCGGCGTGGAAGTGGTCCATATAGTTTATGTGGATGGCTCACCTAGCTTCTTTGCATTCCGTTTGGCTTGTTTTGGAGGCCGTGCATCGCCTTCAGCTGCTTCGTCTCGTTGTTTTCGCTTCACTGTGCCCCTTCCAATGGCCATTGGAAAACCACGTATATAATGAAATATGGAAATAAAAGACTAATTATCCAAAGGCGTGCTTATTATTACTACTATTACAAACCATGAAATGAATAGCTGCTCTTAAGTCTGATCAACCGCAAGGACGGACGTGAACATAAGATAACAAACGGAAGTCTTGTAAGGAATGACACAAACAAAATGCTGCGATATAAAAGTGTTGGCAAGGTAAGACTGAGGCCGTCCGGCAAACCGTTAGTAGACCTAACCGTCAGTTGCCGCTGTTTCTACTTTATGACAACGTAGCGGGTGATAAGAATTCATATGTGACTGTTTGTGTTATCGGACATGCGTGCTCCCAAGGCACTATAGCTTTGTACCCATGTAGGACAATAGGTGCAGTAAACAGTGAACTAGGCCTTGTGCAGATTCTGTCTAAAGATTTGTACTTTGATTATCCTTATCAACTACAAAATCATCTGGTAAATCACGATGCGACATTGCCCCACTTCGTCTGATGCTGGCCGTTTCAGCACTCCACCGGCCCATCCACGCTTAACACGCCCGTTTCGCGCTTCCCAATCATGTGACCACACGAGACTCAGATCGCGTCAGCAGCGCAAAGCTTTGTGCCAACCTACTGAAGGCCTGTTGGGCCTACCTGCCAGTCGTCCAGCCAGTCCACAGTTGGAGGCCAGTCAAGTATCAGGGCGGCGATCGGTGCTCCTATCTCTTACGTCTCCTGCGTTTCTTGGTGTCTGTAACCTATTATCATTAGGATCCGCGGAAGCAGCGCTAGTGGGCGTCTCGTGCCCCGGTATGTACCCAAGATGGTGCCGAAGCGATCGGCGTGGTGCCCTTCATTTGCACTCTCCCTACACTTCTATCATCCATGGATGTTGGCCTGTAAATATTACAACACGGAGGGAGTGTGTCTCTAGCTAGTCCCTCGCACCAGCCTCACTGCAGAATGCTAACGACCTCAACGACCTGCTTCCCACCCAACCACTACCACCTCCAGGCCTGAACGGCTACGCGCTGCAGCAGTGCTTGAGGGAGGCACGTAAGGCCCGGGAGGCGGCGGAGGAAGCTGCTGACGGCGGAGCTGGTCGCGGCGGTAGTGGCGTCGATGCCGTACGCGAGGAACGCCTGCGGTACCGGCAGTATGAGCAGCCGGGGACGCTGGTGACGCTGCCGAACGGTGTGATGGGCTGATGTGGGGCTGGTGACGGACCCGTGTGGGTGAGACCTGAGACCTCACAAGCACCCATGACATAGTGTTGACAAAACTCTATTTGGCGTTTGGCACTGCGTGAACCTCTGATGCGAAGGAAGAGCTTCTCGAATGTTCTGACCTGGGTGGAAAAGTCTTCCTTGCCCGGCGGAGTCCGCTTTGCCGAAGTTGCCAGGAGGCTTGAACAGCTGTCCTCCGTATCCCTGACTGATGCCGTTGAGCGATCTCGAGCCCTCAATATGCAAGAAGGGTTTGATGCCTACCTTAGTGCCATCAATGCCTCAGGTCATTCGTGCCCCGCACTCTAACCGTCGCTCTAGGTCTATGGGTTCTACCGTTTTCCTAATCTTTTATCTGTCTGTCCGTCTGTCTGCCTATCTGTCTGTCCGTCTGTCTGTCTGTCTGCCTGTCTGCCTGTCTGTCTGTCTGTCTGTCTGTCTGCCTGCCTGTTTTCGTAAATTGGAATCTACGTATGTAACATGTGAAAATAAAAACTTCCCTACATTTGCACTCTGCTGTTGCGTACGACAGGCCTGCAGTACCGGGAGCTGCTGGAGGGCACCGGCCCAGAAGCGACCCCCGGGTCGATCTGCGAGATCACGTACATCGTGTACCGTCTGTCATCCGGTGCGTACTACAAGTACAGTAGTGGCGGCACACCGGTCTTTCTGTTTTCGCTAGGGTATGGCCAGGAGGGCAAGGACGACGTGGGACAGACGTACAAGTTCAGGTATGTGCGCCAGGATATGCGAAGCAGGGCTCGGAGGGAGGGAGCCGTCGGGCCCGGGGCCAGACGCACCGGGGGGTCGGGGCGGCCATGGGGGCCATGTGCATGATGGTAGCGAATGGTTGAGTAGTAGTCTGAGACAGGTTTCTTGGCCATGTCGTCTTGGGCGGGCCTTCCCTGTGGCACTTTTTGCACGTGTGGCACTTTTAACCCACGTGCCCGCATGCGGGTGGCGTCCTTGCGACTTCACCCTCTTCACCACGGTGGTGGCCCCCCGTCTGCAGACTGGGAGAGCCCAGCAGCCTGCCCGCTGCGGTGACTCCCGCGCTGGTGGGTATGCGCCAGGGCGGCAGGCGGCGAGTGCTAGTGCCGCCGCGGCTGGGCTGGGTGGATGATAAGGTCTGTCCGGGGGGGGCCAGGGAACCGAAGGGGGCCGGAGCGGACGGGTTGGGGCGCGGGTGAATGAGCAACACCAGGGGGCGGGGAAGGTACATTTTGCTGTAGCAATGTGACATTGGTTTTTGCAGGGTCCGGTAGGCCGTTGGAGTAAAGATCGGGCTCTTTTGTCCGCAGCCGGATGCGGGAGATTGCTGATTGCCCGTTCCTGTCGGGGCTGAGGGTACGGGATTTGGGTACTGTGTATTTTGGGGATGGTGTTGTAATTTGTGTGCGTATGTGTGTATATGTATGTATGTTGTTACAGGGTGGTTAAGTTCGCCAGCGGCCCCCTTTCCCGGGGCAGTCCCTGCTAGAGGGGCACCCTAATCCGTCACCCCATCCGACTTCAGAATGTATTCGTTGGGTTCGGCAACTCACCACCAGCATCCAACCAAATCTAGCGGATCAACGGCGCATCAACTTAGTTCCTGGTCAGTTCGCAAGTTGATATTATCACGTCCTACATCGTCCATTTGATGGGGGGCCACCTCCCATTTCAACACTCCTCAAACACCCGAGGAGCCGGCAGGCGAATTTGAACCCGGATCGGCCGGGAGCAGAAGTCAGGCCTTAACCTCTGCCAGCCGCCTGCCATATGTATGTCTCTGTGTGTTACACCTTCGGGAGTTACCGCGGCCTCGTTGATATCCTCTCCCGCTCGGTCTTTATTATGTGCCGCCATACACACATACATACATACACACATACATACATACACGCAGGTGGGTCCGCGGCCCGACACCTTCGGGGGTCAGCGGCGCCTGGTCGGTCACAAGGATGAGCCGTTACTCTTCGAGGCCGAGCTTGTACGCGTACGGCAGCAACTGCCAGGGCAACTGCCGGATGGTGGCAATGGCGGAGTACAGGAGCTCGCGGGTGTCCCGAAGGGCCCGGTGCCGCGAGGTGATGATGCCACGTTCCGGCTACCGGCACCGCCGACGTACTACGGTGCAGGGAAGGGTTAATCATCACGGGTCGTGTGCTTTGCGAAGCGTCAAGGAGGGGGTTTTACATGCGGAAGGTTGTACGAAAGTTTGCAAGGAGTTCATCTCAATTTTTGGCCTGCAGAGGGACATCGGTTTAGTTGTGAGTTGGCGGTTGTGGGTTGTCGGTATAGTTGTTAGTTGTCACTTGTATCTAGTGATCTAAAGGATCGCTGGACGGGTGTACCTGTATGTATGTGTACGTGTTTGTGCATGTGGATTTGCAACACAGGCTGGACGTTCGCGCTAGGAGCAAAGGGAAGATGAAGTCTTGCCCAGATCTTTGCACAAAACACAAACTTGCCCTGAGGGGAGAGGCAGGTGCTGGGCACTACAGTGATAAAACGTCTATTATCCCGGATTATTCGCTACTGCTGGTGCGTGCTGATGCCGACCGCTGAACCGGCCGCTTGCAAGGCGTCACTGCTCCTTGTACGAGCGCTGCTGCCGTTACTGTACTTTAAAACTATGCCGTACGCCGTGGCAGCTGAAATGCCGGGTAGGCGAACAGGGCAGATCCCGTCCTTGACATATGCGTCGTTAAGTAGGAATACTAAATAATGCTGTTACGAGCTAAAAAATATGTGTCGGGACCGGAGAGAAAGGCTGGGTGGTAACCCTCCCAAGTTGCCGAGTGCCGGGCTGCCAGTTGTGATGTACGGTAAGCTGTCGGGTACGTTGGGTCGGTGGGTCATAGGCCGCGACTTGCACTGGGAAGTGAATCGCCAAGACCGGTATCAGAGAAATATACGCCTATATAGTCGCTGTCGTTGCTTGAAGATACGCTCTTATGCCAAAGTGTAAGCTTGGTGCTCCTCACACCACAGGCAACTAGCCAACGACAACTACAGGTAAAGACCTTCACTCTGACAGTCCTTAACCGTTACTGATTAGAAAGTATTAAGGCATCCACCAGCTAGCTCTGCGCACCGCGAGCATCTGGAACCTTGGCGAGTCATCTTCAACCTTCTTGTTAGGCTGTAGTAACTTCCCGTGCATTCTTGACGGGCTATAGTGGACATACTGTACTAGGAATCATGGCTTGCCCGCTGCACAAGCGAGTGCCAGCGGGCAATGGCTTTGTTTGCAGTCGCTCGGTGTTTTTTTGCTCAGCTAAGGGCCAACGGATTGGAGGAGAGACATTTGGTAAGGCACGGCATGTGGATGTTTCTCATACGCCATGCGCTTGAGGCCTACAACTTTGCGAATGGACGTGACTTGGCGCACTTGGCCGCAGTCCCGCATGCGTACGAGAGCTCTAGTAACTCAGCCACGGTCACAACATCATACTTGGAGCCTGGCAGCAGCAAGACCGGAGCGATTAGGGTCAAAGTCACCCCGCCACGTGAAATTTCGCAACCGCCGTCCCCGCCTTCTCTGATCCATAGCCCCGTCTACGTCCAAAAGGCAATTACAAAACCTTCGGTAGGTAGGGCCTGGCCGTGAGAGCTGGCTTGCTCGTTTGTACTTACTTTTCCGATTTTACTTGTGAAGTCCACCTATCTAGCAACGCTGCTTGCCTCCCATTCACAGGCTGATTCCACACCGGCGCCCACGGCCGCCCCCTCACGGCTCCCAGACACGGACGACGGGCAGGACGCCGACAATGGCGACAACAGCCTTCTGTGGGCTCTGAAGCAGTAGGTCCCGTTGCCGTCTGCACCCCCCTCTCGAATGACACTTCGGTCACATGACCCATATCCCAAACCTTCCTTCCCTTTTTCAAGAATCCGCCGCGGACTTTCCTCCGCGCGCTTTCCCCACCTCCGACGCCGTCGTCATTCATACACATGCACACGGCTATATACCATGCCTTGTTTCCCCTGTCTCGATTCAACCCCCTTCCCCGTCATATCCTCTTCCCTCACGTCGCCGTGTCCTTCTCCCACCATCCTAATGCGGCGTCTTCTCCTGCCTCCTGCCCCCTTGGGCCCTGCACCCTTACACCTCGCCCCGAAGGGTGGATCGCTCCCTAGACGAGCTGGAGCAGAACCCGCTACCGCTGCAGAAGGAGATTTACGAGCTCAGTCGCAGCCCCGCAGCCACCGCCACCTCCTCTGCCATTTCCACTGCGGCCCGGGTAACGGTGGCAGCGACGAAGGAGGCGGTCAAGGCTGCCGTACCGGTGGGGCAGTGGATGGTCAGGGAGGGCGCCAAGGCCGCCGTCTCCATCATGTCGCGCGCTATGGCAGAGAGTGCCAAGCTCAAACAGCAGCAGCAACAACAACAGCAGCAAAAGACGACAGCAAGTTCAGAAAAGCAGCAGGAAGGCCGAAAAGACGGCGCTAGCAGGAAGCGGCAGGGGCTGTAGGTAGGATGCGCGTGCTTTCGAATGGCAAGTGGCCGTGTCATGCTGAGGGATCGAGTTATTCGAGGTCAAGGAGCACGGTACTGATGAAGCATGGACATGGGGGCGGGCGGGTAAGGGCAGCAGGCGAGCGCACGGGGCGTATCTGGCTTGGGCGGCGCGGCGGTGGTGCCTTTGGTTGGTAGGTAGGCGTGGGCTTGGCTGGGCTGGGCAAGTTGACAACGTCACAGACAGGAGAGTGGCATGGGCTGGGGCCGGGGCCTCATGGATTTTACTGCTGCAGATTGTCGTTGGCTGCGCGTGGCTCTCTGCATCCATGGCAAAGAGTTGGGTGCGAAATCTTGGAGCATGCGTTCGCGCAGCTTACTTACAGCTTACATGTAAGCTGCGCTTGAAGGTGTTGCATTTGGAAAGGTGTATTGGCAGGTTCTGTGGTGAGAAGAAGGTGCGACATGCTGTCGCTGTAGGGTGAGTAGATGCGGTGGTGGTCAGGTGGCAATGGCAATGGGCCGGCTTGGAGGCCTGAGCGACCACGGGGCAGCTGGCGTGGTGATGTATCGTATGGTCCGTATGTTAGTGGTGGCGGTTAGTGGCTCGCACGGGATTGAAGCCGAGGAGAGATACATGAATGCGTTTGGCAGCAGCGCGGGCGCGCATGGCATATGCATTCGTGCGAACTATCGCTTGTAGCTATTTAGAAGCCCGTGAGAGAGGAATGGAAGAGGTGACTGAGAGTCGCGAGTTCTTGGGTGTCAAGCCAAAATAGTTTGTTTGTTCAGATGATTCGGCTCACATTTTTCAGTAGGCATTCGGGCCAGCAAAAAGCGGTATTTAGAGGCGACGGCGAAGCGAGAGCGAATGAGCGGTCTTCACTTTGGTTGTGATGGAGCGTGTGGTCGAGCTGAGTGTTAAGGTTCCCGCGGGAGCGTTGGAAAATGATGCGCGGTAGCCGCAACAGCCACAAATCGCACACGGACCTTTCTTCTCAGTGTACTTTGTCCTAGCGTGGCGGGTGAAATGCAGTTGCAAGAAAGAGCTACTGGACATTGCAGCGCAGTGTCTCATCATGCGCATGCTAGAGAGAGAGAGAGAGGCGGTTGCGTAGTACAAGGGTACGAGGGCAACACACGGGCAGTGTGCGTGTTCTGGCGCGTGTGATATTGGGTTGGTGTATCCGCAATGGACCCCCGCAGGCTCCCCACGTAAGCTAACCTCCTGCGGGGTTTTGATTACCTTCATCAAAATTGGCGGTATGCGCCGTTGTTGTGAAGCGCGGTTGGTTGGGTTGGATAGGCTCATTATCGGGTCTCTAGAAGAGGGTAATGGTATTGGGTTAGTTATTATGTTACAAGTTACAAGTGCCGCACGAGTGCGGGGGTGTCCGTCAAAGCTTGGAGGCCATGGACTATATGTATTGTGTTATGTTTGTACCTTGCTGTTGATGTCTAACGGCTTTTGCTCCGAGTGCTGTGGTCTTCAGCCTCTGCCAACCTTCCTTTATTGATCAACTGGAGACCAGGGGTTACAAGAAAGCACGAAAGAAGTTCATGTTGGCTGACACCAAACGACGTTTTGACACTGTTTCTCTTGTGAGTGTAAATTCGCTGTCGTTGTAGTTGCTGTTTTCTGTTTCAACTCCCCTCAGTGCAACCGCTTTCTTATCGCAATTTGGTTTGTTGGTCGCAAGGTTGGTTATTGAAAGGGGAACCAGCGGATTTTTGTGTGCGCCGAGAGCTGCTCGCGTTATGATGGGCGTTTTTTCGTCCTTGAGGGTGAACTGCTGCAAACGCAGGCCCTTATTGCCGCACGGTGCGGCGCCTTTGCGTTACGTTGTTAAATTGGTTTCGTGAGTTTTTTTTGTCGGCAAGTTTGTACTTTTTTTACCGGCTTTGTAAAAACTAAATAAATGATCGTTTAAATTTAATCAATACTTTCTCCGGGTCGACGCTCGTGACGGCAGTTGAGTTAACGACCCAAGGGGCGGCGGCAATCTCCTGTAGGACTAAATCTCTACACGTCTCTGAAGCAAAGCACAAAATTTCCTTCCAACAGTCTGTTTTGAAGACTTTCTTGTTATAAAATAAAGTTATGCTTAAGGAATACCCGTGAACGTTCACAGGTAGTTCCGCGGGTACGCTATGCATGTTCATTTTGTGAGTGGCGGAACGATCCAGTACTTTGTGAGTTATCTTCATCATTTAAATTTCAACTCCCTAACTGGTCCCGTCCTTGGGAAGGAGGCCACTTCTTGTGGGTAAAAGAATGGGCGTTCCGGGCCTTTTCGCATTCCTCAAGCGGCGGTATGGAGTTATCGCCAGATTCATAAGCAAGAAAGAAGATGGCAGTTGGGATGGGGCGGCACCGGCGGACGCCCTTTATGTCGGTGGGTAATGTTTATGCGACATCTGAGGCACGGACGTGAAAGCCGCCATCCGTCCTGCATCCAACCTGGAATCGCAATACTAACTTTCATGCCTTGTACTATCCCATCCACAATGTCAGTCTTCCGCGATCAGCGCAACACCCCCCACAACATTTCCCCTGTCAGCGCTAGTGTTGCAATGCATCCCCCCCTTGCGCACACCTTCCTTAAGTGTTCTCCCACAAGGAAGCACTGGGTCACCATGTTTACTAGGAAACTCGCTGCACAGGCTTAATCCCTTGTCACAAAGCGAAGGCTGGGGACGTTGGAAACGGGCAGCAGAAAGACGGGATATTCCAAACTTTAAGAGCGTGCACCCTTGCAACCTCGAACAGCAGCCTCAAATTGTAGCGTTCTTCCGTTCCCCACGGCCCCTCTTCCTGCCCTTCTTGCCTTTCTCCCCACCACTACCAGACATGAATCACATTATCCATAGCTGCACACATGCCAACACGGGGAGCGACGGCTTACCTTACGACGAGAATGCCGCCTTTGAGCGCATGGATGCCTATTTGACTGCGCTGTTGGAGATCGCGGATGGCGGCGGAGCCGCTGCCGGCGCCGACACCGCCGCGGCCGCAGCAAAGGCAACCAACTCACGTCCCCCTTCCCCATTGCGGCTGTTGTTTGTGGCCATTGACGGCGTGGCGCCAATCGCCAAAATGAACCAGCAGCGCACTCGGCGATTCTTGTCCGCGCACGTGGCGGAGGTGACGGATCATGTGGGTGAGTGAGAGAGGGTGAGGGTGAGGGTGAGGGTGAGAGTGCAGCTGCAAAGCATATCCACGTCACTTCCTTCATTATCCAACGGGGGACGCCTCCTCCCCCCCCCAGGTCGGCTGACTGGTGGTACTCGCTCTTAGCGTTTACGCATACGCCCCCCCCTCTTCAGCCATGCATACCTCTGGCGCATCAGTTTATCCTTGGCATCAGCTTCACTTGTTCGTGGTTCGTCTCCCCCCCCACCACCGCCACCACCACCACCACACACCACCAGTAATCAATGGAGATTATTGCATTTTGGTGTCCAGCAGTTGCCAGTGCTTTGGTGTGATGCAACATCAGCCGTAGTTGCGGGCCTTTTGTTTCTCGTTTTACACTGCATGATTCCACTTAGCTAGGTACCCATGATCCATCCAGACCGCCAACCTGCTCCCAGACCGCTTTTCTTTTCCCGGCCCAGCTGAGTCGCTCCACCCTGTGCTCAACCCTGTGCTTTAAACCCAGAGCGTGAAGTCCGTGCCGAGATGACCTCTCAGGCCGGGGGCTCCCGCACCATCCCCGACACCTCCTCCAGCCGCTTCGACCCCAACATAATATCGATTGGCACCGTCTTCATGAGCCGGGTGGCGGACAGGGTGCGGGCCATGCTGCGCACCAAGGTGCAGACCGACCCACGGTTCACTCAGCTGAGGGTGGGTCTGTCCTTCCGTCCGTCCGTCCATGCTCCTCTTCCCCCCTTCTTTTTCTCTCTCTCTCTCTCTCTCTCACCAAGCTCGCCCCCATTTCCCGAGCTCTTCCTGCACCCTGGTACATTCAAAACCGTCCGACAGTCCCCTTTTCTGGCCCCCACGTGTCACACGTGTCACACGTGTCACACCAACTTTCACTTCGTCACCCGCGTACTGGTGCTGTCCAGTAGGATCTGAAACCTGGATCTGAAATCTCCTCTCGACACCCTCATCCCCCTGGTGCCCCTCCTTTTGCCCGCCTTCCCTCCTTTCCGCATGCTTCCCCCCCCGCAATGTATGCTTGCTGTGTGCTTGCGTGCTTGCCGACGGACTTATTTGGCTTGGCGTATTTGCTGACGGGCTGGCGGACTGCGGCGGGGACGTGTTCACTCGAGCAGGTGATCGTCTCCGATTCCTACGAGCCAGCCGAGGGGGAGCACAAGATCATGAGGTTCATTCGCCACCTGCGCACTCGCCCCGAGTACGACCCAAACACACGACACATCATCTACGGCCAGGTGGGCCTTATGTATGTATGTATGGATGGATGGATGGATTTATATATGGATGGATGAAGGGATAGGACGGAAAGAGTGAGGGTGACGAGGAGGAATTTTGGAAGGAAAGCCGAAAAAGGTTGGCTTGGGCCTGGAATGCCCGCTGTCCCCTCTGGTCCACCTCCGGCCATCCAGCTCGCCCGTCCTCGGGTGTCGGTCCCCGGGCCCCCCGTGGGTACAAGTGTCAGCAGCCCGTTGGTGCATTGGGCAGTGCCGGCAGTTCCCGCAGTATGGATCTACGGTTTTCCCTCCCCACCAAAAAGGTAAGTCTCCTGCCGGACTGCCGTGTGTGCGTATGCATGCATGTATGTATGTACGTTCCCTCCCTTAGCCCCCTCAGCATTCCTTTCCTCTCACCTTGTGTATCCGTGCTGCCGCTGCCGCTGCCGCTGCCGCTGCCGCCGCTGGCTGTCCGCGCCTTTCTCCCCGTCCCGCGCAGGACGCCGACCTGCTGCTACTGTCCCTCCTCCTCCACGAGCCGCATGTGCGAGTGCTGCGGGCGGGAAATCCAGACCAACAACAACAACAACCCAACACAGCAGCAGCCGCCGCCGCCGCCGCCACATCTTCAGCCGCCAAGCTACGACCGGAAGGCCGCCAGTACCAACCCCCGCAACAACAACAACAACAGCAACAGCGACAACAGCCAGGGTTGAGTTCGGGGCCCCTGGGTGGTCCTGGTAGTGGTGGCGGAGGTGGTGGCGGAGGTGCATGGGCCCCAGCTGGTGCCCCCGGCGGCCCCGGCCCCGCGGCGGTGGGGGGTTCGGCTTCCTCCCCGGCTTCTCCTTCTTTGGCAGCAGGCGCTGAGAAGGTGGAGGACGGGAAGGAGGAGTCGGTGTTCTTCTTCGAGGAGGTGGACATCAGTTTGCTGCGGGAGTGCCTTCAGTGGGAGTTCGCCGAGCTGTGCGGTGCGGGCGAGGGAGCTCCGGCCTGGGGGGGAGGGGAGGGGGGATGGTGGTGGTGATGGTGGTGGTGGTGGTGCGGTATGCTTACGGGAAATGAAGAGGACAGTGTCTGACGTGCCTGGCTGGGGCCTGGGGCCCGGGCGGGCTGGTGTTCGTCCTGCTTGCCTTCCTGTCTTCGCTGCGCTGGACAGACCCACTCACCACCTCACCACCTCACCACCACGACATCCGACGACATCCGACACCCCACGACTTGTTGTGTCCCTGATGCAGCTTGGACCCCGCAATGCACGAACGTATGTATGTACGGAGTGCTACATCTTAACTTGAGTTGTGGCACCCTTCTTCCATTGTATAATGGGAGCCCTGCCGTACAAGCCACGCATGCAATTCCTACCCCTGCGTCTGCGGGCCCCAGGTGCCCCGGACGGCCGCCCACTAGCTGCCGAGTA